CAGGCCACATGGCAGTGCTCTCACCAACAACTGCTTAGTGAAGTGTGTATCTGAAGTACAGCCACAAAGGAAGTACATCTGACAGCATCTCCCCTGCGCAGGCAAGTGGGATTGTCACCACTGCAGATTTATGGGCCCTCTGGAGGAAATAAACCAGCTTTTCCTTCTATTAGTTCCATAGGATCATCCTTACCTCTCACTGTTATTTATGGAGGGAATGTTTCAGTGTCAGCAGCGCGCTCAGTGCTGGTGCAGCTTCCCGGAGGGGCTGGCTCAGCACCATCACTCACCTGTGGTCAGGATGAGCTCTTGGGTTTGTCCGAAGGGTGGCGAGTCCCTCAGTTAATTCAGGAGGGTCACAATGACCAAGGCCCATCTCGAGGTATGGAGGGCACCCCGTGTCACCCGTGTGAGTGGGAGCACTGGGTGGAAGATGAAGGAGAGGGCTGGAATTGGGTGATGCGGCTCCGTGGAGCCATCCAGCTCATGTCTTGTCCTGCACTCCCATGGCAACCAGCTCCAGAGGAATCATTTTCTTCTGCTATTAGAAAAAGGAACCCAACACCCACAGCAGATCCTCTCCTCAGGTGTTCTGGAAAGCAATTCCTCATCATCCCTTCTCTGTTTGCACTTAATCCACCACTCCCTTCTCCCAAAGCAGTGGTAGATAAAGCAGGTGAGCACCTAGAAGCAGAGAAAAACCACCATGGTCCTCACTTACCTACATGATCCTAGCTACCAGAATCTCTTAAGCATGAAGTTCAAGGAGAAAGCCCCTGTGCTTGAAGAGCTCACCAAGGCAGCTTTATTCAAAGACACATCCCATGGGAAGTGCCACATTCCCATGTGATTAACCCATACAGCATTGCACACACTCCCAGGCATCACTCAGAACTCACACCCTGAGAACACTGAGTTTTGTTCATCACTAATACAAAGCACGAGTGTTTTCACACATGTGCTCATGGTTTACAGGCTCCACCACAATATGGGAGAGAAATGACTAAAGGCAAAGCTATTTCACACTCGGCTCCAGCTTTCCCACATTAGCTGGAAAAAAGAGGAAAACCAGAACACCGGAAGAGTGACAGTCCCATCTCAGCTGCTTTAGCAGCATAGATTTGAGCCACAAGGGGCTGGAGGTCAGCAGCAGGGCTTCTACCTGTCACTGTTTAAAGTAAAAAGCCATCCTAGTTCTCACAGCCACAAGTCAGTCTTAAATCCTAGAATGGTTAAAAAAAAGCTATTACTTGAGGTGCTACAAACACACAAACACATCACTTCAGGCTCACTGTAGGTGGCATCTTTATTTAGTTGTTTGGGGTTTTTTATAATCCTTCTTACCATGCAGGGAAAACACAGATTGAAACCAGAGTGCTTCAGAATGTGGCAACAGCTCATGAGCAGCTGAGTGGGAGAAGGACAAGGTTACAGCTCTCGAGGTTATTCAACAGCAGCACGGCAGAAAGGACACAGCACAACAGCCATCATTTCTCTTAAACATCTGAGCACGCAGGTTGCCAGAAACACTCAGAACCAGCAGCAGCATCACACACGCTTTGGCTGCTGTGAGCCTGAACCCACGTTGAAAAGATGAAGTCTCAGCAACCTACAGATCCTCAGTGCAGACACCACCACCCGTTTCTTCTGCTGCAGCCAGCTTTGCTGGAATTCCAAACCTCATGGATGATCTGCAAACAAGAGAAGGCCCAGGGTGTGAGACAACTCCAAATGCAGCAGCAAAAGTCAGTATCAAGCAGCTGTTTAATGCATCCAGGCTCCTGCTGGTCACTGCAGCTGCTGAGGACACATAATTCAGCTGACTGAAGCATTACATCAGGTTTGTCTTGGGACTCTCCAAAGACTTTTCACATCCCAAAGGAAATTAAAAAAGCTTCATAAAATGCAACCAAATTTTAGGGCAGTCGTAGCTGGGCTGGGTTATGATTCATGGGGAAGCTTCACAAAGCAACTTACTCTGGCATCACCAAACACTGCAGTCAGTGGAAGCCAAGTGCCTGCAAACCTGAGTTGATCAGGACCTAAAGCAGTGACAGGAGGCAAATGACACAAACTGGACTCATTTAGGACAGGTTCTTTGCCAGTAGAACAGAAAGGCTTTGAAAAGAATCTTCTGGCTTGGCAGAGCACTCTGGTGAGTCCAGGAAGAGGGTAATTTAACAGCAGAGCCGGAGCCTGCTCTGGTTATTCTTTCCCTCTTGGGCTCCCTAAAAATCAAAGGGGAGTTTGCCAACCTCACTGCAGAGGCAACTATTCATAGCGCAGAGAGAGAAAAGCTGGGCTTACTCCAGCCTTCAAAGCCAGGGCATAAACCAGCTCTAATGATGAAGGGCCAAGTTAACGTGCACAAAGACTTTTCATTTCTCTCAAACCCACTTTAATATAAAATATTCACCTTTTCCACAGCTGAGAGCCAGGCAGCTCTTTCAGTAAAGCAATATTCATAGCCTGGGATTGCTTCTCAGGCTGGGGAAGATGGTTTACAGCGAATGCTATTAGGAACATTTTAATAGCTCTCCTATGCCTCACACTGTAAAGCTCTAGAAAGACACTCATTGGGCACTCACTACCCCTACAGGACCCTTTACGCAAGCAAAGTCTGAGGTAAAATGACCCAGATATGCATTTCAGGGTTAGAAGTCAGGGTATTTAAATAGAAGAGTCCCCTCTTAGGGTACAGCTCTTTGCACAGCTGTATCTCCAACCACCTTATTAGCATTCTTCCCAAAGCCACTGCTGGTAGGCGCTGCCTTTTCCCAATTAAATGGCTCATTTTGCAGCCAGCAGCAGCCCACTTGGTTAATGGCACCTCTGGCCCTCTAATGCCCATTTAATGAGGACATTTTCCACCATCCAGCACTGCCAGGTTTTGCCAAGCCATTAGTCACTGCAAAGCCTCTCAGTTTCACAATACTCTGTGTGTGGCCAGAGCTTCTCTCACCACTTGCTTTTAAAAGACTTCAGGTTTTAGCATCAATTTGTTGCCTGATTACCAAAATCAAGCTTTTTATTTATTTCTTCATTACACTTAAGACACAACCTCTCATTATCTTGCACACCTGAGACTGAGCATGTTTCCAGTAGTGTTTCGTGCAGGCTGCAGTAGCACCAGAGCCTGCCTTCATCATCTCAGGCACTTCAGTGTACATAAAACTGGAAGCTTCTAGCAAGTATCTTGTTCTACTGACAGTTGCCCTTAAAAGGATGCACTTGGGGAGCTGAGAAAGGCAGTTTAAGTGGAATGAAAAGGTGAAAAGTGTTAAGATCACTTACAAAAACTGCATTAGCAAAGCAGAGGAACCCGTGAGTGCTCCACCCAAGGCAGAAGTTTTCCAATAAAAAAAGATGCAAAACTACTGAATTTAAGCTCTTTCTCCAAGTCTCCACTAGCAGCGTTTTTTTGATTGTTTTTATCTGTCCCTGTCCCGGAAGGACAGGATGCACCAACCCAAGGATCCCACCAGACACTCAGTGTTTTGGCAACACACTGAGGTCCAGTGTGTTTCCAGGTGACACCACACCTACCTTCAGCAGCTGAAGCAAGTTCCAGAACTCAGCCCTGTTCTCAGCCGTAACTGTGAGGAGGAAAAACATCCTCAGTTTGGGTTTTTTGGGGGAAGGGAGTGTTGAGTTGGTAAATTAACACTGGGAGCAGGATGCAGTTTCCTCCCCATGCTAAATCCACACAGAAGTGATCTAGACACATCAACACTTTGGAAACAACAAACTCAAGAGCCTGTTTTCCCCACCCCCTCCACTCCCCAGTGAGATTCTTGATATCTACAAAATACTAAACCCTGCAGAACTCCAGAGGGGTCTTTTCACCATCAGAACAGGCAGCAAGCGAGGGCGCCTTGCAGGCAAT